CGCCAAGGCTGGCCACATGGTGCGAATTTTTCTCCTCGGTACATTTTTTACAGGGAATTCAAAATATCGCCTAAAACACCATGAAAATTCACTTCGTTGCCATGGTAATCCCAGAGTTGTCATGAATTTTGTAATGATGAGTGTGGTCGCACACCGACTACATGCATGTACAGACTGTCAGTGTGTCAGTGTACATGCCATCCAGCCTGATCCAGGCATGTTACTTTGCACTGTCACAGCCAAGCGCTAGCCTTTTTAGAAGCAAATGTACAGTGATTTGTGCCTTCAGTTGCGCTGAAAAGTGAAAGTACAGGACTTCTGCATAGGAAAGTAATGATCTCCGACATTTTGGTTGCTTTTCGGACGTTTCCCTTTTCGGACCGGTTTTCGGAAGAGCCTTCAAAAATCGGACACTGTCCGAAAAATCGGACGGTTTGGCAGCACTGCATGTATATGTCTTTGTGTTGGTGTTAGTGTGTGGGTGTCAACGTGTGCAGGGCATGTGTGCGTGGGGGGGGGGGGGGGGGGGTCTTAAGCTGTGTTCACAACTGGCACGTGGACGTGGCACGCTTTCGGTTCAAGCGTGTCAAAACCGGTGCTCAGGCTTTCACAAAAAACCAGCGATCCGAGTCGCATTTAGCACATGCGACGCCTTCGAGTACTAATTGTTTGACGCCGCCGGTCAGGTGGCATGTACGCCTGACACGCGCTGAAATTTCCAACATGTTGGAACTTCCATTTCGCCGCGTTTCCATACGCATGACACCCAAAAAGCGAGCAAAAAAATCGCACAAACGCGTGGCTTCACACGTACCATATTTCCCCCGAATGCAAGTCACACCTTTTAACACTACACTTGAAAAACAAAGAAGGCGATGGTGCGACTTACAATCCAGTGTGAATTCATACTCATATGAATGTATTGATAAAATTAATTTTGTTTCAGACCTAAAACTGGGTTGCAACTTATAATCAAGTGTGACTTATTATCAAGTGTGACTTATAATCAAGTGTGACTTATAATCAAGTGCGACTTATAATCAAGTGTGACTTATAATCAAGTGCGACTTATAATCAAGTGCGACTTATAATCAAGTGCGACTTATAATCAAGTGCGACTTATAATCAAGTGCGACTTATAATCAAGCGCGACTTATAATCAAGCGCGACTTATAATCAAGCGCGACTTGTAATCAAGCGCGACTTGTAATCAAGCGCGACTTGTAATCAAGCGCGACTTATAATCAAGCGCGACTTGTAATCAAGCGCAACTTGTAATCAAGCGCAACTTACTATCAAGCGCGACTTATAATCAAGCGCGACTTATAATCAAGCTCGACTTATAATCAAGTGCGACTTGTAATCAAGCGCGACTTGTAATCAAGCGCGACTTGTAATCAAGCGCGACTTATAATCAAGTGCGACTTATAATCAAGTGCGACTTATAATCAAGTGCGACTTATAATCAAGTGCGACTTATAATCAAATGCGACTTATAATCAAATGCGGATTCGCGCAGAGTCGAGTGGTGGAGCTGTGACCAAGATATTTTGCAAGATGTGCAGGGAGAAGGCATCCTCGCTTCGTGGTTTGAGGAACTACAGCACGGCATTGTCGACGGAAAAAAAACGTTGTGCAAAATTGTTGCGTTGCTATGCAAACGTCGGGGTGTGTAGCAATTATTGCTACGCAAATTTTTCAAGTAAATTAGTCCCTGGTGTGTGTGTGTGTGTGTGTGGGTGTGTGTGTGTGTGTGTGTGTTTGTGTGTGTGTGTGTGTATGTATGTGTGTGTGTGTGTATGTGTATGTGTGTGTATGTGTGTGTGTGTGTGTGATCCCAGCACAAGTAGCTATGTCTAACATAGCTGTTCGCTATCATCGCTTCTGCGATGGGCAGGTCTGAGGTCTGAGGCGTGTGTGTGTGTGCCGCGCGCGCGTGTATGTGTCTGTGAATGTATGAAAGCAGGGGCGTCACCGGACCCCTTCACAGGGGGGTGCACAGGAATTTTGCAGAGGAAAAATTTTGCACAGGAAAACCCTAAAAAGTTCGCTGATAGTGAGCTGGCCAGACGCTTTCCTTTTTCGAGAAGACGACATTTTGAGAGGAAACAGCTCCGACGACTCTTCAAGTGTGGTGACCTGACTTACTTACTTGCGACCACACTGAATTATTTATTTCTTCTGTTTCAAACAAACACCCAGCACGCCGCCGCGCGTGTAGATTCTATCACAAGGCCAAAGGATGCAGCGCTGCGCACACGTGCACGCGTACACACTTAGTAATTATTATTCCCGTAGCTATGCAGAAGACGTTACTTCAGTAACGTCTGGCGCTAGCCAGGGTGCACACAGCTTTAATTTGGTGTTTGTTTGTGTGTTTGTGTCACGCCTGGCGCTATCCCGTATCTGTCCCGTACTGTACCGTACCATCAAACACAGCTGGCCACATACAGCTGGCCGCACTATTCAAATAGGGCTTTCAAACGCAAGATCATAACGTGAAGCAACTTGGAAGAGTGAGTATGAATGCGAAGTGTATGGGGGAATGCATGTAGGGCGATAGTGCGGGTTTGAATTCCAGGTAAATACCTGAAAAAATAGGAAAATTGAAAAATTTATAACATCCCTATTCTTTTTTTGCAGTCATCAAGGTGGTAGATGGTGTCGTATTACCCTCGACCGTACCTGTCCCGTACCTGTCCTGTACCGTACAATCAAAGACGGCTGGCCACAATGCATGATCATGTATTGAAATAGGGCTTTCAAATGCAAGATCATAACGTGAAGCAACTTGGAAGAATTAGTATGTATGCGAAGTGTATCGGGGGATGCATGCAGGGCGATAGTGCGGGTTCGAATCCCAGGTTATGTCTTAAAACAAAAAGTAGAAATTTATAAGACTTTATAACATCCCTATGCTTTTTTTGTCTAGGTCATCAAGGCAAAAAAGCATAGCGTAGGGCCCTGAGCTTCCAAGCTCTCTCGTTTAAAAAAATTCTCGGTGCGCGTGAGACTCGGCTGGAAGCCGGGCTTTCCGCATCCATAGGAACGCCACCACCCTTCAATTATCAAGGCGCAGATGCAGCTCCTAAAGAGATGGGAGATGAGTAGATTAGCTGAGAATCAGCTAGATTCTACCAGCACTACACGTTTCATAACCAGGAGTTCGCAAAAAAACAAGTTCGAATTTTTTAGGGGGGTGCACGTGCCCTCCGTGCTCATCACGGGTGACGCCCCTGAACAGGTCCTGTATCGGAACAGAGAGGTAGCCGACAATGTTCTTCCTGCAAGCGCTGGTTCCGCAGTGCCGGAGGTTTGGCGGTCCACAAGACGCTCCCCGCGACATCGTCTCAGGCTCCATGCCGGGCGGCGTTGTCTACCATTGCTGCTCAGGCGACTCCTCCGCCGCCGCGTTTGCGGCTCGCCCTCTCATGCTGCAAGGCCCTCTGTGTGGCCTGTGGTCGGTGCTGCCGCTCTACTCGTGAATTCCGAATCCATAGCTGCCAAAGATGGCTCTCTCGTCATGCCGATTGAACATGGTCCCTGATCTCTCGGCGGACTGCCGACTTTCTGCCGTCGCTCGTCGTTTCCATGTTGTCGGCCCCGCAAGGTGACACATGTCCGTAATGGCAGTGTTTACCAGGACCAGGACCAGGTGTGTGTGTGTGTGTGTGTGTGTGTGTGTGTGTGTATGTGTGTGTGTGTGTGTGTATGAGTGTTTGAGTATGTGTGTGTGTGTGTGTGTGTGTGTGCATGAGTGTGTGAGTATGTGTGTGTGTGTGTGCATGAGTGTGTGAGTATGTGTTTGTGTGTGTGCATGAGTGTGTGTGTGTGTGTGTGTGTGTATGCATGAGTGTGTGTGTATGTGCATGAGTGTGTGTGTGTGTATATGTTCTTGCATGCACATGTTGGTCTTGTAACACTTGTATGTGTGTGTATGTGTGTGTATGTATGTGTGTGTATGTGTATGGATGTGTGTGTGTATGTGTGTGTGTGTGTGTGTGTGTGTGTGTGTGTCTTGACAATGTGTGTGTTCTCTGCTCTGGTGGAGGACGGTTGTACTTTTCCGGGCTCTTGTTTCTGGCCTCCGTCCGTGCTTGTTCTCGCCGTTGTGGACGGCCTGGGGTGTCCCCAGCCGTCCAGGCCAACAGTGCCTGAGGTGGGGTATTCACCGACAGGAGACTTGGTCGGATAGTTACGATGCCGACACTCTCCTCGTCGCCCCCACCTTGGAGTCCTTCGCGAGGCTTTGCAAGCCCGCGAGTGGAGCAAACTACCGCACGAAGACGACGACTTGGAACGACTCTGAGTGTTGGCTCATGGAATGTTCGCTCTGTTGTGGAGAGTGATGGACCAGTTCTAGCGGCAGCCGTGAGAGGAATCGTTTCCGATGATAAGCCAGAGCCATAGCTGCTGGAGATGGCTCTCTCGAACATGGTCTCGCTCTGGTGTTTACCAGGACCAGGTATGTGTGTGTGTGTGTATGTATGTATGTGTGTGTGTGTGTGTGTGTATGTATGTGTGTGTATGTGTGTGTGTGTGTTTGTGCATACACATGTGGGTCTTGTGTGTGTCTGCATGTCTCTCTCTGTCTCTCTGTCTTCCTTATATTATCTGTCTCTGTCTCTCTCTCCATCTATCTATCTCCCTCACCCTCTTGCTGACACACATACGCACACGGTGATACACACATGCACACTCACATACACACACACGCACAAACACACACACACACACACGCTCAGACATGCTCATGCGCACACTTAGGTAAATTATCCATCCCTGATTTCAACGCTAACCTCGAGACCTCTGTCCAGTTTAAAAATTTCTTCCAAGACATTGACACTTGGTCCCTACATCTCCTGTGTCTTGTTTTATCTTTTCCTCTACATGTACATCTCAGCAGGGATGTGTTCATAAAACAATACAGTCACAATTTCAACATTTTCAAACTTATGAACACTTTTTACTCTCTGCTTGTCATTTGTTTGTGTTTGAGCAGGTTCCTGCAGCAACGCCACAGCTTTCTGCTTTGAGAATGGTGATGCAGTTCTGAAGCAGTTATCTCTAGGACAGGTATGCAAGCAAAACAGCATACACAGTACATGTGCAGTGCTATATGATACACTAGTAGTGCACTAGCCACTCACTCTCTATATATGTACACAGTGACCATAAGCAGTTCACCTCTATACTACATGTACATGCATGCCATATTCGGCATACACATTAGCAAGCTGTGTTCATTACGGACGGTGTGTGGGAGGGGGTCTGAGAACGAAAAGAACAATGTTCGTTTCAGGGACGACAAACAACCTTTGCAACGACACATTTAGCGTCCATAAGCGGCTGTGGAATTACGCCGACTCACCATTATGACTTCATTCGTGGACAGCTCTAAAAGGATAGTATATCCAAATTACAGTGAAACAAAAGAAAAAAAGAACACACTTCAGGCTCTTTACGAACATCTTGAACGTTTTCGGTTTCACAAGTATACTTTCAAGCCTTCTCATCAGGTGATATACAGACAAAGGGAAAGGAACAAGAACAGTGGATTAAGTACAGTAAGGAGGTGATAACTCAGTGCAAAGAAGAACGGATAACTAAAACTAACAGCAAAAATGTGTGACCTATACACATAGAAATAATGACACAAAGGTGCAAGTGCTAGAAAACCTAACAAGTGTGACATGTGGTGTGACAATAAGAGACTTATGAATAATTATGACGTCATACAATGTTATGGTTGATGTTTGTGCAGGGCTTGGATCAGATCTGCTTTGACTTTGGAATCTTGCTGGCGTTGTTCTTCGCCTTCGTCATTTCCGGACTTCTGATACTGGTGTTGCGTATCCGCTACATCAAGCGCTAATGTCTGCCAGGCGCAATGCGTTAACGTCTCACTCTGAGGTGCTAAACCTGACTTGATGATGGTGTTGTTCTAGTGTTGAGATGATTCTGTATTCCGCTATGTTTGTCAGTGTCTTTCATGTTGCTATTTTGTTAGTCATACAGCCCATATACACTCCTTAATGTCAACTTCAGTAGTGGACATTCCCAGACAAGTATTCTGCCTGTCACGTGTGTGTGTGTGTGTGTGTGTGTGTGTGTGTGTGTGTGTGTGTGTGTGTGTGTGTGTGTGTGTGTGTGTGTGTGTGTGTGTGTGTGTAGCATTATGGTGATAATGCAGATAAATTGGTGCACGCAGATTTATGCTACTGCTCAATCTATACTGCTATGTTTAATAGTGCTGTTACTGCATGCTCATGCTTTGCTGCTGGCTACGGTCGCGTGCTCATGCTTTGCTGCTGGCTACGGTCGCGTGCGCATGCTTTGCTGCTGGCTACGGTCGCGTGCTCATGCTTTGCTGCTGGCTACGGTCGCGTGCTCATGCTTTGCTGCTGGCTACGGTCGCGCGCTCATGCTTTGCTGCTGGCTACGGTCGCGTGCTCATGCTTTGCTGCTGGCTACGGTCTCATGCTCATGCTTTGCTGCTGGCTACGGTCGCGTGCTCATGCTTTGCTGCTGGCTACGGTCACGTGCTCATGCTTTGCTGCTGGCTACGGTCGCGTGCTCATGCTTTTCTGCTGGCAACGGTCGCGTGCTCATGCTTTGCTGCTGGCTACGGTCGCGTGCTCATGCTTTGCTGCTGGCTACGATCGCGTGCTCATGCTTTGCTGCTGGCTACGGTCGCGTGCTCATGCTTTGCTGCTGGCTACGGTCGCGTGCTCATGCTTTGCTGCTGGCTACCGTCGCGTGCTCTGCACATCATGGTGTGGTACTCTGTGCGGCTTGGCGCTCTGCGTGATATTGAATGCGTCTCTCTACATGACATTGAACTACTTGTCTCTCTATGTGGCGTTTATACGTGACACTCGCCTCCGATGTGGGCAGCGTGTGGCGCGGCGTCATGATGGCGTTAGCATGTAGCGCTCAACGTGGGCGACATGCATCATTGCATGACATGCTAGAGTTTTCTCCGTTATATTTCGATCCGTTCTGTGTGAGGATCATTCTTGCTTGCTCGTAGTGTTTCACCCTCCCACCTCCCATTTCTCATCATTACCGTATTTCTCCGTAATTTAGTACGTACTAACTTTCGAACTTAGCAGCCGCATGAGTTCGAACTTTCGGGCGTGGTACTATCTTTCGGGGAGTACTTTTTTATCAGGGGTAAATGACACGCAGTGGGAAGCCTGCGCAACTCTAGTGTCCGTGCATATGATGTATGTACTGTAAGGTGGGGTTACTAAGTCATTGGGGAGAACTTACTTACGGGGAAATACGGTAATTTGCTTTGATAAAGTGATGGCCACGCTCATTTCCGGCTACTCAGGGCCTTCGGTCGCCGTCCCTTGGATGCAGACTCTTCTAGATACTTGGCTCCACCAACATTCTGCTCCGGCAGTGTCTACCCGGCCGACCCTGAATCCTCTCTCGTAGATACTTGGCTCCACCAACATTTTGCTCCGGCAGTGTCTACCCGGCCGACCCTGAATCCTCTCTCGTAGATACTTGGCTCCACCAACATTTTGCTCCGGCAGTGTCTACCCGGCCGACCCTGAATCCTCTCTCGTAGATACTTGGCTCCACCAACATTTTGCTCCGGCAGTGTCTACCCAGCCGACCTTGAATCCTCTCTCGTAGATACTTGGCTCCGCCAACATTCTGCTCCGGCAGTGTCTACGCATTTCTTTCCGTAGCCTCTCACTCCGCTGGCCGGCTTCCCCCCCCCCCCCCCCGTACCGCAAGTTGACGTGTGTTGTAGTTAATGTGTGTGTGTGTTTGTATGTGTGTGTGTATGTGTGTGTGTGTGTGTGTGTGTGCTTGTGTGTGTGTGCTCGTGTATGTGTGTATGGTGGGTGTGTATGTGTGTATGTGTGTGTATGTATGTGTGTGCGTGTGTGTATGTGTGTGCGTACATGAATGTGCGGAGTGGTCGTAGTTATAAACCATTGTACCAGTTAGAGCTGCTATATTCATTTCTCATTTTCTGATCTCATTTTCCAACACACAGTGACTGTCCTGTGTTGTACACCAGTAGTTGATCACCCTCTCTCTCTCTCTCTATCTCCCCTCATTCTAGAACACCCCCCCCCCCCCCACACACACACACTCGTGCACCCCCCCCCCCCCCGCACACACACACACACACACACACACGCACATGCACCCCATCCACCCATTGACCATTATTTTGACAATTTGACGCCCATCGCCGGGGGCGATGATAGCAATGCTACAGCAGAAACCATAGCAACTTGTTCTGGTATTTCACCATTCAACAGCTTGCAAGGCTGAAGAATTGACCACCAATCGAACGCGCAACATCTCGATTGGAAATCCCTGCACATACATGATACCACATCATCATATGGGACACACCTCCTCCACCCACGCATACATGCACAAACACACGTACATTCGTTGCTGCCCCCTAACTCTTGCCCCCCCCCCCCCGCCCCCTCAGCTCACAATCTGTAGGAGCACGTCTGTGAAGTCGAACACAATCATTAGCCAGTTCACTCGGAAACTCCCCCCCCCCCCCCCACAAACATACATGCATAATAATTATGCACCAGAGTGTGTGCTGTGCCGGTATAACAGGAGCCAGGTAAAAACCTTTGTCCGTCATAACCACACACAATGTTAAGCCATGCACAATGCCAGTGATTGACATTCATGTGAATCACTCCACGTGTTCTTCACAAACAAACATACAGTCTGCATACCGGTGCACTGCACACAGCCAACTGTCAGTGTAATTCAGGAAACACAGAAGAGACAAGGAAATGGAGTGAAAACATCGTGTCAGTACAAGATACTCAAAATAATATTTTTGTACTGCAGGCAGTGTTATCAGCATGGCGGTGCTCAAGAATTGAGAAAAGACAGAACAGCTTTTGAAAATTATCTGCTATATACACGGGCACCACTGGCAAGGAAAGCGCATACGGTCAACTCAGTGTTTGGCCTGGGCAAGAGGAAAATGGGCTTTGCATTGCCCCGTTATAGGCAAGTAGTTAACGGTAGCGGCTGAATAATCAAGTTTTGTACAAAAATAGAACACAGTGCTCACTGCCAGAGAGAATCTGTGCCGGGGCTGGTGCTGGCTATAACCATGGCACCTGTACATTGTCATAGTAACAATCAGAGCTTTCCAATCTTCAGGAGAGCACATTCAGGATCATCTACCAGCGGCTGTAGCTCGGACACCAACCTGCTGTTATCCCCATACTGTGGAGAAAAGCAGAGCTCACTAAGCTGGCTACACTGGCGAACAGCCTGTACGAACTGGGCTAGTACACGTCGTTCCTCCGATCTAGGAACATACGTGAAGGAATACCCGCGGACATACAGTACACCCAGGTTCCTGTTAGAATGGAGAATTTCCAGAATGGACGTGAGCGGCACATCAGCACCGCGCTCACTGTATAACCCGGAAAGTGAAACAAACCACAAATTCCTACATGAACTCAGCGCTCGGCAGATCAAAGCTAAGCCGTCAATGCCGACTTCATTCCAATCTAAATCCACTTCCTCCAGGCTGGACGATGCGGACAAAATGGCTGATGAAAAGACATTACCATCGGTACAGTCATTCCATGCCAAATAGAGCTCACGTACATGTGTGTAGTGTGCCAAGCCATTAAGAATGCAGCGCATAGCAGTGCTGGGTAACCTACACCAATAAAGGTACACTTCCTGCACGTCCACACAAAAATGGGTTGTGAGGAAATGAGCAATGGCAGTGCAATCTAACAGGCTGATGCTCACCCAACGAAAATCCAGAGAAAAGACCTGAGAGAAGAATGAACAATGGCCATTACAAGATGACGTACCTTGATACTGGCAGTGCTCTAGATAAGCTACTAACAAATCAGCTAGGCAACGGCGTTCTCCCCCGTTATCCGCAGGAGGCCGTATAGGTGCAGCAGTAGCAGCCGGGGCAGCTCCAGGTGACGATGGTGTAGATATCTCCGATGTTGCGCTTGTCATCGTATGCTGCTCACAATGCGATGCGGTCGCGGGATCCACTTTACGTACAGCCGACAGGAACACCTCTGCACTCGCCTCCGCTGCCTCGTTCTTCCATACGCTTACAAGAGTATCCAGGCACAAGTCGTCCGTCAACTCCCTGCCTCGCGGCAGAGCATTGTCGACACGCTGACGACCACGTCCTTGCCTGGCGGTGCCATCCAGCAGCTGATCGGCGAGCTCTTTCATCTTCTCAATCGCCAGCGCCGATTTTAGCAGGGCGTGGATACGGTCTACGTCGTTGTTTTGCTTGGCTGGCTGAGAACGGCTCACAATGTCGTTGAGCAGGCGTGTATCAGTCTGGCTGCATGCACGTTGTGTACGGTCGTCGTCGCAGATTATCCGCCACAGATGCTCCATGATGGCGACTGCTGGCTTTGGCGGTGTGAGCGCGATCAGGAAACGCCAGAACATGGTCATGTGACCGCTGTAATGGCCGACTCTCCTCACCAGCCACGCAGCGTCGTTCTCGTCGTTCAGCATCTCGCTAGACACGTACCAGGCCGCCAAGAACTCCTGAATGGACAAGTGAGCAAATCGATATTGCCGGTCTTCTGTTGAGCTGGTGCTCTTGTAAGCCATCAGCAATCCTAATTCAATTGCAGGCGCGCTGAGTTGTGCCGAAATGACATCCTCCTCGTTGAACACCATCTTTTGCTGAGCTAGCATAGATAGTGCAAAACCAGATAGCTCCTTCAGCACTTCTACCTCGTCCGTCTTGATGGCGGAAAGCGTCTTGTAGCGTTTGCCCGCACGTCGTTCCATGACACGGCGGACAAGCGACTCGTACAGTCCTGTACTGGATTCCGGCAATTTACTACCGTCTCTGTCGTCCATGAACAATTCACAGGCCAGCGCAGCAAACAGAGGTGTACCCATTAGCGACATTGTGCCCTCTTGTGAGCGGAGCTGCTCCAGCATAGCCTCGCCTTTCACACCGCCCACCACTTTCTTCACGTACGTTTCAACGTTGTCTGGTGAGAATCCAACCACCTCCACTTGCTGTTGATACTCTCCACACTGAGACAGGGTATGAGCATCAGTACATGGTCGAGACGTCACCACCACATGCATATCACCACTACGCCTTCTCAACAGTAGATCATGCATGTATTCACTGCAGTTCTGCAACTTGCACTCATCCAGCCCGTCTAGCACAATGCAAAGACGGGACTGGTTGCTGCGAAAGAACCGGGACATCTCCAGCAGCTCATCTGTCTCCACATCCAGACTGGAGAATCGACGTGCCAGCAAGTCGCACAAGCTCGTAGCAGCTTGCACCTCGGCACGTCGTAATTCCACTGCCAATACCAGATCAAACTTTCCACGCCACAGCTCACCTTTAGACCAGAGGTATTCCAGCATGATCAGAAAGATCGTGGATTTGCCACAGCCAGCGCTACCAAACGCTAGTACATTCTTCATGTTCTCTTCCACGGGTTCTTTGGCACGCGCCAGTAAACCAGAATCAGCTACCTCATGGTCACAGCCCGGGCGTGGCGCGGCCCCCTGATTGCAAGACCGCTCGCTGGTAGCGGAGAAAATATCTTCCAGTTCAATGCCACGCTCGGCCGTAGCGACCCTTTGCGGCTGAGCCTCGGAGAACAATTTCAACTGGCGTGCTCGTTCAGAAGCAGACGAAAAGGACGATGACTCGTTACTGAAAAGTTTGGAAAGTTCGTCCTTTGTCAGCAACGTCAAGTTGACAAAAATATCTTTCAATGGGATTTTGGCATCGCTGGCAAGTCCACCGCTAATCTGAATACCAGCCTTCTCAACTGCCTTAGCCAGCAAATCACGGGCAGTTCGGACAGAAGCTGGCAGCTTCTGCTCGTCGGACGCCATGGGTCGCGGGCAGGTTTGCGTCCAAGTAGCTGCAAGGAGCACCAGGCAACAACATCGTGCAATGAGACGCTACAAGTATTATTTAAAATATTTTTACTTTGCCTGCATGACAGATGATTGCACGAATTCTGGGTGCACCGGTGGTCGGTGTGCGAGGAGGTAGTGACGGTACGTGTTTAGCTCAGAACTATCCTCGGACTTTGTAGTTGTTGCGTTGTTTTTCCACCGCTACAAATCATGCATTTAGTGAAATCCTGTGCAGACTGTGGTAATGGCAATGGTGTAAATGTACTGATGTACGTACATGTACATATACGTGGTGGTAATGTCAATGGTGTAAATGTACTGATGTACGTACATGTACATATACGTGGTGGTAATGTCAATGGTGTAAATGTACTGATGTACGTACATGTACATATACGTGGTGGTAATGTCAATGGTGTAAATGTACTGATGTACGTACATGTACATATACGTGGTGGTAATGTCAATGGTGTAAATGTACTGATGTACGTACATGTACATATACGTGGTGGTAATGTCAATGGTGTAAATGTACTGATGTACGTACATGTACATATACGTGGTGGTAATGTCAATGGTGTAAATGTACTGATGTACGTACATGTACATATACGTGATGCTGATGCACAAGTAGAAACACTTTAGACACTGCACTGTCTGTAAAATGAGTGAAACAGATTATTGAAATATTTATTTCAGGACTGTCTGGTACATGGTGTGCACTGCACGCATGCACTGATCTAAGCATTACCTAGTAGTAGTAGTAGTAGTAGTAGTAGTAGTAGTAGTAGCAGCAGCAGCAGCAGCAGCAGCAGCAGCAGCAGCAGCAGCAGCAGCAGCAGCAGCAGCAGCAGCAGCAGCAGCAGCAGCAGCAGCAGTAGTAGTAGTACCTACTAGGCCCCGTGTAATATGGCGGCATTTTTTTGAGCATTTTCGGAACAATCCGCGAATCCAGCACTTTTCGCTCGTGATGCAGCATGTTTCCTGGATTGGGGAAAAGGGAAGGAGGGCATGTAGCCTGGATTGGGGCAAAGGGAAGGAGGGCATGTGGCCTGGATTGGGGCAAATGGAAGGAGGGCATGTAGCCTGGATTGGGGTAAAGGGAAGGAGGGCATGTGGCCTGGATTGGGGCAAATGGAAGGAGGGCATGTGGCCTGGATTGGGGTAAAGGGAAGGAGGACATGTAGCCTGGATTGGGGCAAAGATAAGGAGGGCATGTAGGCTGGATTGGGTCAAAGGGAAGGAGGGCATGTAGCCTGGATCGGGGCAAAGGGAAGGAGGGCATGTAGCGTGGATCGGGGAAAAGGGAAGGAGGGCATGTAGCCTGGATTGGGGCAAAGGGAAGGAGGACATGTAGCCTGGATTGGGGCAAAGGGAAGGAGGACATGTAGCCTGGATTGGGGAAAAGGAAAGGAGGACATGTAGCCTGGATTGGGGCAAAGGGAAGGAGGGCACGTAGCCTGGATTAGGGTAAAGGGAAGGAGGGCATGTAGCCTGGATTGGGGCAAAGGGAAGGAGGGCATGTAGCCTGGATTGGGGCAAAGGGAAGGAGGGCATGTAGCCTGGATTGGGGTAAAGGGAAGGAGGGTATGTAGCCTGGATTGGGGCAAAGGGAAGGAGGGCATGTGGCCTGGATTGGGGCAAATGGAAGGAGGGCATGTAGCCTGGATTGGGGTAAAGGGAAGGAGGGCATGTGGCCTGGATTGGGGCAAATGGAAGGAGGGCATGTGGCCTGGATTGGGGTAAAGGGAAGGAGGACATGTAGCCTGGATTGGGGCAAAGAGGAGGGCATGTAGGCTGGATTGGGTCAAAGGGAAGGAGGGCATGTAGCCTGGATCGGGGCAAAGGGAAGGAGGGCATGTAGCGTGGATCGGGGTAAAGGGATGGAGGTTATGTAGCCTAGGCCTGGATTGGGGCAAAGGGAAGGAGGGCACGTGGCCTGGATTGCGGCAAATGGAAGGAGGGCATGTAGCCTGGATTGGGGTAAAGGGAAGGAGGGCATGTAGCCTGGATTGGGGCAAGGGAAGGAGGGCATGTAGCCTGGATTGGGGCAAAGAGAAGGAGGGCATGTAGCCTGGATTGGGGTAAAGGGAAGGAGGACATGTAGCCTGGATTGGGGCAAAGAGAAGGAGGGCGCGTAGCCTGGATTGGGGCAAAGGGAAGGAGCGAATGTAGCCTGGATTGGGGCAAAGGGAAAGAGGGCATGTAGCCAAGATTGGGGCAAAGGGAAGGAGGGCATGTAGGCTGGATTGGGGCAAAGGGAAGGAGGGCATGTAGCCTGGATTGGGGCAAAGGGAAGGAGGGCATGTAGCCTGGATTGGGGTAAAGGGAAGGAGGGCATGTAGCCTGGATTGGGGTAAAGGGAAGGAGGGCATGTAGGCTGGATTGGGGCAAAGGGAAGGAGGGCATATAGCCTGGATTGGGGCAAAGGGAAGGAGGGCATGTAGCCTGGATTGGGGTGAAGGGAAGGAGGGTATGTAGCCTGGATTGGGGCAAAGGGAATGAGGGCATGTAGCCTGGATTGGGGTAAAGGGAAGGAGGGCATGTAGCCTGCCACCTTCGAGCTACTGTAAAACCGGACACTTTCGGTGGAGATCTATTTTCGGTAACTTCGGCAAAGGTAATTTTCACCTAAAAATAAAACGCGATCTAAAATTCCACACAGCCATGCCCCCCCCCCCCCCCCCCACCCCCATACCACACAGCCATGCCCCCCCCCCCCATACCACACAGCCATGCCCCCCCCCCCCCCATACCACACAGCCATGCCCCCCCCCCCATACCACACAGCCATGCCCCCCATGCCACACAGCCATGCCCCCCCATACTACACAGCCATGCCCCCCCCCCCCCATACTACACAGCCATGCCCCCCCCCATACTACACAGCCATGCCCCCCCCCCCCCCCCATACCACACAGCCATGCCCCCCCCCGTACCACACAGCGATGCCCCCCCCATACCACACAGCCATGCCCCCCCCCCCCCCCCATACCACGTAGCCATGCCCCCCTCCCATACCACACAGCCATGCCCCCCCCCATACCACACAGCCATGCCTCCCCCCCCCCCATACCACACAGCCATGCCCCCCCCCCTCCTCCCATACCACACAGCCATGCCCCCCCCCCCTCCCATACCACACAGCCATGCCCCCCCCCCCATATCACACAGCCATGCCCCCCCCCCATACCACACAGCCATGCCCCCCCCCATACCACACAGCCATGCCCCTGGTGTCTGGAAACCACCTTTTTTGGGCAATCTTGCCAAAGGAAAAGCGTGCCTACGCTCGTACTGGATTGGTTATTCTGCATACTCAGTACACGTCGATCGACGGGCAGTTTACAGTACTGTGACTATGTCCTTATTTCGAAGTGAGAGAGAGTTGCTTTGCATGTAGTTCAAAATACAATATTCTCTCTTTCTTCAGTGGAGAGTAGCCACAGAGAGATCGATCTCTAGCTCTGGTTCGCTCCTGGATTGGCGATGACGTTCAAGAAATCCGTTTTGCCTCGAAATTCGAGTCAAGCACGCGCGATGCAAGTCAGTTCAAGGATATGATTGACGATATCTCCTTCCAAACTGTTGACTCAAATTAAGATGACAGCTTTCGTTCTCGCTCATGTGCGCAGCAGAGATGTTCGTCAAAAACGTTGTCGACTGGAAGACGTAAAAATGTGCGTCCATGATCTAACGGTAACAAACATGCCTGCATGGAGTGGACTAGTGAAGTACCATAGTCACATAGTGTTATACTTATAGACTGTAGTGTATACATCAGGGAGTCGTACTCAAACTAGGGAGGTGACACGGCACAGAAATCCGTGTCACAGGGGTTGACTCGCACCCGTGACCCCTCGTTGTTATTTTTGGAATAGTTCAGTCCAGTCCAGTCCGAAAGGTCATACTCGGATCGACTCGCCTTCTGTACTTCACCTCCAAGCGTGCAACGCAAGACCCGCAAAGTATGATTTTTCTGTGGGGAACGATTTTGCCATTGATCAAGTTTTTATAATAGTGCTCAAGCATACTACAATTGCTGAGACGTCCCGAGCACGCTTGTTCAGGTTCTCTATTTTTGACGAGCCGGTCCTACAGCCCCCTACATTGTATCTAACGACGTAGGAGCTGACAATGTAAGAGGATTTCCCTGGAAATAATGATGATGGTGGTGTGACTGCTGCAGGAAAAATGCTGGCTGTTTATGACAGTATGACTAGATGTACAATGTAGCTCTCTTGTATGGTACTTAACCCCTGCTATAAATGTGTTGTTTAGGAAGACTGGTGTATTGTGCAAGTCATAAAGAAGAAATGGGGCAGATACACGACTTACAATTTTCAAAAACCAGCTTCGTGTTATGTCTAATTTGTGTCAAAATTGTAATATTTAGACATGACAATATCATTGGCTGTACTTCTCTAATATGGTACATAACCCCTGCTTAATGTGTTATTTAGGCAGACTGGGCCATTGTGCAAGTCATAAAGAAGAAATGGGGCAGATATACGACTTACATTTTTCAAAACCTGGCTTCGTGTCATGTGTAATTTGTGTCACAATTGTAGTATTTCAACATGACAATATCACTGGCTGTACTTCTCTTATATGGTACTTAACCCCTGCTAGAAATGTGTTGTTTAGGAAGACTGGTGTATTGTGCAAGTCATAAAGAAGAAATGGGGCAGATACACGACTTACAATTTTCAAAAACCAGCTTCGTGTTATGTGCAATTTGGGTCAATTTTTAGTATTCGGATTAACCTAGGATACGACTCTGAACAGTTCTGAATAGTTACCGTAACACTACACGCTGTCTCATAACTGCTGCTGTTGCCATCACTGCTATCAAGTAGTTCGGACATGGCAGGAGGTAAACAAATTGCTGGTAGTCTTTCAAAGAATACTGGCGAGTGATGGGCTGTAAACGAAATGTGCTGCCTCAATAATTTCAAAAACTAGACACCCATGCTGCACGCTTGGAGGTGAAGTACAGAAGGCGAGTCGATCCGAGTATGACCTTTCGGACTGGACTGGACTGAACTATTCCAAAAATAACAACGAGGGGTCACGGGTGCGAGTCAACCCCTGTGACACGGATTTCTGTACCGTGTCACCTCCCTAGTTTGAGTAAGACTGTAGTGTACACATGTAGCCTGGGCGGCTAGGCCTATCAAACTACTTTTACGGGTCTGACAAACATGTGATTGTATATGAGTGCATTGACTTTTGCACCCTCTTTGCAAATACTTTTTCAAGTGCTGTATTTATCCTGCTACTGGTCATACATGTACCAACATTTCCATGTAACATCGTCCCCTCCCTCCATTCCTCATTACTCTTATTTCTGTCCTTTCTACCCCTGTACCTGGTTGCCCTCTCAGACGCGTTTGTGCGGGCATGATCTAATGATATCAGTCGGACGAGCCCCGCATCTCATCAGCACCAGTGTTCATTGGTTCCCTGCACCCCTGATCTTGAGTCCCCCCCCCCCCCCCCCCAGCCTCCTCCCTAGCCCTCGCCGTTAACTCCGACGGGATGTTCGGGGGATGCTCATGTGCACAAAATACATAATTATACAGTGGGTCTCCAGAATTCTTTTACCAACTCTAGAAACCCCCCTTTCAAGACTCGGTGCACGCCACTGTGCCCCCCCCCCCCCCCCATACCACACAGCCATGCCCCCCCCATACCACACAGCCATTAGGGCTTGCCGGATAATGCCGGCAGAAAAATTGGCAGAATTACATGTAAGTACATTTTCTGGTAATTTTATGCATGTTTGGTATGTGGATAAAGAAATGGAGCAGAATTCGAGGAATTGCACGCCATAAGGTTTGTATGGTTCTGCCGAATTCGGTGCAAAAAAAGCAGAATCTGCCACCTTTTCGAGCATTATCCGCCAAGGCCTAACAGCCATGCCCCCCCCCCCCCCCAATACCACACAGCCATGCCCCCCCCCCCCCCATACCACACAGCCATGCCCCCCCCCATACCACACAGCCATGCCCCCCCCCCATACCACACAGCCATGCCCCCCCCCCCCATACCACACAGCCATGCCCCCCCCCCCATACCACACAGCCATGCCCCCCCCCATACCACACAGCCATGCCCCCCCCCCTACCACACAGCCATGCCCCCCCCCCCATACCACACAGCCATGCCCCCCCATACCACACAGCCATGCCCCCCCCCATACTACACAGCCATGCACCCCCCCATACTACACAGCCATGCCCCCCCCCGTACCACACAGCCATGCCCCCCCCCCCCCCATACCACACAGCCATGCCCCCCCCCCCCCCGTACCACGCAGCCATGCCCCCCTCCCATACCACACAGCCATGCCCCCCCCCCATACCACACAGCCATGCCCCCCCCCATACCACATTGCCATGCCGCCCGCCCCCCCCTCCCATACCACACAGCCATGCCCCCCCCCCCCCCCCCATACCACACAGCCATGCCCCCCCCCCCCCCATACCACACAGCCATGCCCCCCCCATACCACACAGCCATGCCCCTCCCATACCACACAGCCATGCCCCCCCCCCCCCATACCACACAGCCATGCCCCCCCCCATACCACACAGCCATGCCCCCCCCCCATACCACAGCCATGCCCCCCCATACCACACAGCCATGCCCCCCCCCCCCCATACCACACAGCCATGCCCCCCCCATACCACACAGCCATGCCCCCCCCATACCACACAGCCATGCCCCCCCCCATACCACACAGCCATGCCCCCCCCCCATACCACACAGCCATGCCCCCCCCATACCACACAGCCATGCCACCCCCCCCCCCCATACCACACAGCCATGCCCCCCCCCATACCACACAGCCATGCCCCCCCCCCCATACCACACAGCCATGCCCCCCCCCTTACCACACAGCCATGCCCCCCCCCCCCCCATACCACACAGCCATGCCCCCCATACCACACAGCCATGCCCCCCCATACCACACAGCCATGCCCCCCCCCCCCCCACTATCACACAGCCATGCCCCCCCCCCATACCACACAGCCATGCCCCCCCATACCACACAGCCATGCCCCCCCCCCCATACCACACAGCCATGCCCCCCCCCCCCCATACCACACAGCCATGACTCCCCCCATACATGTACCACACAGCCATGCCCCCCCCATACCACACAGCCATGCCCCCCCCCCCCCCCCATACCACACAGCCATGCCCCCCCCCCATACACCACAGCCATGCCCCCCCCATACCACACAGCCATGCCCCCCCCCCATACAACACAGCCATGCCCCCCCCCCCATACCACACAGCCATGCCCCCCCCCCCCATACCACACAGCAATGCCCCGCCCATACCACACAGCCATGCCCCCCCCCCCATACCACACAGCCATGCCCCACCCATACCACACAGCCATGCCCCCCCCCCCCATACCACACAGCCATGCCCCCCATACCACACAGCCATGCCCCCCCATACCACACAGCCATGCCCCCCCCCCCCACTATCACACAGCCATGCCCCCCCCCCCATACCACACAGCCATGCCCCCCCATACCACACAGCCATGCCCCCCCCCCCCATACCACACAGCCATGCCCCCCCCCCCCATACCACACAGCCATGCCTCCCCCCATACATGTACCACACAGCCATGCCCCCCCCCATACCACACAGCCATGCCCCCCCCCCCCATACCACACAGCCATGCCCCCCCCCCATACACCACAGCCATGCCCCCCCCCATACCACACAGCCATGCCCCCCCCCCCCCATACAACACAGCCATGCCCCCCCCCATACCACACAGCCATGCCCCCCCCCATACCACACAGCAATGCCCCGCCCATACCACACAGCCATGCCCCCCCCCCCATACCACACAGCCATGCCCCACCCATACCACACAGCCATACCCCCTCCATACCACACAGCCATGCCCCCGCCCCCCATACCACACAGCCATGCCCCCCCCCCCCCATACCACACAGCCATGCCCCCGCCCATACCACACAGCCATGCCCCCCCCCCCCCCCATACCACACAGCCATGCCCCACCCATACCACACAGCCATACTCCCTCCATACCACACAGCCATGCCCCCGCCCCCCATACCACACAGCCATGCCCCCCCCCCATACCACACAGCCATGCCCCCCCCCCATACCACACAGCCATGCCCCCCCCCCCCCATACCACACAGCCATGCCCCCCCCCCCCCATACCACACAGCCATGCCCCCCCCCATACCACACAGCCATGCCCCCCCCCCATACCACACAGCCATGCCCCCCCCCCCATACCACACAGCCATGCCCCCCCATACCACACAGCCATGCCCCCCCCCCCCCCATACCACACAGCCATGCCCCCCCCCCCCCCCCCATACCACATAGCCATGCTCCCCCCATACCACACAGCCATGCCCCCCCCCCCAATACCACACAGCCATGCCCCCCCCCCCCATACCACACAGCCATGCCCCCCCCCCCCATACCACACAATGTGCAAAATGCATTTTCGGATCTCGAAAAATAGTTTACCGAGATTTTCGCGCTACCGAATCGCTGATTTTGGGAAATACCGAAATATGACACCACCGAAAGTTCCCAGGGTTGCAGTATCTTGTTGGGGATTGGGGCAAAGGCAAGGGTGTGTAGCTTGTCACCTTACAAAGACAAGGGTGTGTAGCCTGTCACCTTACCTGCATCCAGCTGAGGACCCGGCCGCCGAAGAAGTTGAACCATTTGCTCATGCCTGCCCTCATAGCCCAGCGTCTTGACGACATTACACAGCTTCTGGTAAGCATCCCGGCCTCCAGCGACGATTGATTTGACAAGCGCTTCGTTGTGATCCGCACTACCACTGTCGGCCTGATTCCGTTTCAGTGTGTCAATCGTAATGCGATCCGTGATGAGGTGAGCCTCTATGGCCACAGTGCGCAGCCTCTCCGGAGGCACTGTATTCAGCCATGGCTGAATGTCGCAGATGAACGTTTCCGAGTCGAACGGGTTACCAGCTGGCAATGCAAGCAAACGCAAAGCACATAAAAAGAAGCTTGAAGCACACAGCACTGCGATAACTCAACAGTGGTGTGAAAAGAAATCCAACGACACAGTTCTGTTGGACACCAAAGAACGGAGCGTGAAGAACGACCAGGCTAGAATTTCACCAAGCACAGCATACCAATGTATACACGGTGACTCAACTGTGCATAAACTGTAATACATGTAAAATACGAACAGTCTAGGCTATGAGGCTGACCCCCCTCCACCCCCAGTTCTTCAGGGACCGACATTACTGTAATGATTGCAACAGCAATAGCAACAGCAGCAGCAGGAGCAATAGCAACAGCAGCAGTAGGAGCAATAGCAACAGCAGCAGCAGGAGCAAAAGCAACAGCAGCAGCAAGAGCAATAGCAACAGCAGCAGCAGGAGCAATAGCAACAGCAGCAGTAGGAGCAATAGCAACAGCAGCAGTAGGAGCAATAGCAACAGCAGCAGCAGGAGCAATAGCAACAGCAGCAGTAGGAGCAATAGCAACAGCAGCAGCAGGAGCAATAGCAACAGCAGTAGTGACTACACCCAATTTCCAAAACTTGCTCCGATCGCTTCGATTTTGCTCCCATTCGATTCTCCCAGGCGTAGTACATAGGAAATCTGTAAGTATTATTCGAATCGGCCCAGCCATTCTTGAGTTATAGTCATTTGAAGTGCGCCAACTTGGACTTTTGCTGGAAACAGAAATGAATGGGAGCGATGGGAGAATCGAGAACGACCGCACAGTCCGTGCATGCAGTACAGTGTACAGTGCACACGCCTCGTCACTCGAACTGCGCGTACGAAATTGCATACTTAGGTATGCTGGCGCAGAACAAATTCGCTCGTAGAGGAAGACGAAAGCGTCTCACCGCCTTGTAATTTCACATGGCCAGTAGTTTTTCGACGCTGAAGACGATGGAATAGTCCGCGACGCTGCGACCCGACCAGAACAACCCGAAATTCATACCCTGAAAAAGCGCTGAGCGCAGAGCTCCTAAATTTTGTCGTATGGAAACGGGACTTCGGGTCTCAAGGGCACGAACATCTCCTCTCTCAGATAAAGCAATTCACTCGGTGCGATATTCTACAATTTGACCTGGCCACGCCGAAATGCACTGCCATGTCGGATTCTCCCATCGGAAGTATAGAAACTTGTTTCCAAAAAATCAGCGTCTGGGTGCGAGGGAGTAAAGTCACTAACAGCAGCAGCAGGAGCAATAGCAACAGCAGCAGCAGCAGCAATAGCAACAGCAGCAGCAGGAGCAATAGCAACAGCAGCAGTAGGAGCAATAGCAACAGCAGCAGCAGGAGCAATAGCAACAGCAGCAGCAGGAGCAATAGCAACAGCAGCAGCAGGAGCAATAGCAACAGCAGGAGCAATATCAACAGCAGCAGCAGGAGCAATAGCAACAGCAGCAGCAGGAGCAATAGCAACAGCAGCAGCAGGAGCAATAGCAACAGCAGCAGCAGGAGCAATAGCAACAGCAGCAGCAGGAGCAATAGCAACAGCAGCAGCAGGAGCAATAGCAACAGCAGCAGCAGGAGCAATAGCAACAGCAGCAGCAGAAGCAATAGCAACAGCAGCAGCAGGAGCAAAAGCAACAGCAGCAGAAGGAGCAATAGCAACAGCAGCAGCAGGAGCAATAGCAACAGCAGCAGCAGGAGCAATAGCAACAGCAGCAGCAGGAGCAATAGCAACAGCAGCAGCAGGAGCAATAGCAACAGCAGCAACAGGAGCAATAGCAACAGCAGCAGCAGGAGCAATAGCAACAGCAGCAGCAGGAGCAAAAGCAACAGCAGCAGCAGGAGCAATAGCAACAGCAGCAGCAGGAGCAATAGCAACAGCAGCAGCAGGAGCAATAGCAGCAGCAGCAAAAGCAACAGCAGCAGCAATAGCAGCCACGGTAGCAGCATGCTGAGCAGCAGCAGCAATAGCTGCAGCAGCAAAAGCAGCAGCAGAAGCAGCAACAGCAGCGGCAGCAGCAGCAAAAGCAACAGCGGCAGCAATAGCAGCAGCAATAGCAGCAGCAGCAGCAGCAACAGCAACCATCAGCAGCAACAGCAGCAGCAGCAGCAATAGCAGTAGTAGCAGCAGCTGAATAGCAGCAGCAGCAGCAGCAGCAGCAGCACTAGCAGCAGCACCAGCACCAACAGCAGCGGTAACAGCAGCAACAGCAGCAGCAACAGCAGCGACATTGGCAGCAGCAACAGCAGCAGCAACAGCAGCACCAGCAGCAGCCACACCAACACCAGCAAGACAAGCAGCAACAGCAACAGCAGCAACACCAGCAACAGCACCAACAGCAGCAACAACAGCAGCAGCAGTGAACAGTACTAGTGAGCAGCTAGTGAGCAGCAGCACAAGCAGCAGAACCACTAGCAGCAGTAGCAGCAGCAGCAGCAACAGCAGCAGCAGCAGCAACAGCAGCAGCTACAGCAACAGCAGCAGCAGAAGCAATAGCAGCAGCAGCAGCAGCAAAAGCAGCAGCAGTGAACAGTACTAGTGAGCAGCAGCACCATCAGCAGAACCAGTAGCAGCAGTAGCAGTAGCAGCAACAGCAGCACCAGCAGCAACAGCAGCAGCAGCTACAGCAACAGCAGCAGCAGCAGCTGAATAGCAGCAGCAGCAGCAGCAAAAGCAACAGCAGCAGCAGCAACAGCAGCAGCAGGAGCAATAGCAGCAACAGCAGCAGCAGCAACAGCAGCAGCAGCAGCAACAGCAGCAGCTACAGCAACAGCAGCAGCAGAAGCAATAGCAGCAGCAGCAGCAGCAGCAAAAGCAGCAGCAGTGAACAGTACTAGTGAGCAGCAGCACCATCAGCAGAACCAGTAGCAGCAGTAGCAGTAGCAGCAACAGCAGCAGCAGCAGCAACAGCAGCAGCAGCAGCAGCAACAGCAGCAGCAGCTACAGCAACAGCAGCAGCAGCAGCTGAATAGCAGCAGCAGCAAAAGCAACAGCAGCAGCAGCAACAGCAGCAACAGGAGCAATAGCAGCAGCAACAACAGCAGCAGCGGCGACAACAGCAACAGCAGCAGCGGCAGCAACAGCAGCAGCGGCAGCAACAACAACAGCAGCAGCAGCAACAACAGAAGCAGCAGCGAACAGTACTAGTGAGCAGCAGCACCAGCAGCAGAACCAGTAGCAGCAGTGGCAGCAGAAACAGCAGCAGCAGCAGCAACAGCAGCAGCAGCTACAGCAACACCAGCAGCAGAAGCAATAGCAGCAGCAGCTGAATAGCAGCAGCAGCAGCAGCAAAAGCAACAGCAGCAGCAGCAGCAGCAACAGCAGCAGCAGCAGCAACGGCAGCAGCAGCAGCAAAAGCAACAGCAGCAGCAATACCAGCAACAGTAGCAGCATGCTAAGCAGCAGCAGCAATAGCTGCAGCAGCAGAAGCAGCAGCAGCAGAAGCAGCAACAGCAGCGGCAGCAGCAGCAAAAGCAACAGCGGCAGCAATAGCAGCAGCAGCACCAATAGCATCAGCAGCAGCAATATCAGCAGTAGCAGCAGCTCAATAGCAGCAGCAGCAACAGCAGCGGTGACAGCAGCAACAGCAGCGACATTGGCAGCAGCAGCAACAGCAGCGACATTGGCAGCAGCAACAGCAGCAGCAACAGCAGCACCAGCACCAGCAGCAGCAACAGCAGCAACAGCAGCAGCCACACCAATACTAGCAGCAACAGCACCAACAGCAGCAGCAATAGCAGCAGCAGGAGCAATAGCAGCAGCAGCAGCAACAACAGCAGCAGCAGTGAACAGTACTAGTGAGCAGCAGCACCAGCAGCAGAACGAGTAGCAGCAGTAGCAGCAGCAGCAATAGCAGCAGCAGCAACAGCAGCAGCAACTACAGCAACAGCAGCAGAAGCAGCAGCAAAAGCAACAGCGGCAGCAGCAGGAGCAATAGCAGCAGCAGCAACAACAGCAGCAGCAGTGAACAGTACTAGTGAGCAGCAGCACCAGCAGCAGAACCACTAGCAGCAGTAGCAGCAGCAGCAGCAACAGCAGCAGCAGCAGCAGAAGCAATAGCAGCAGCAGCAGCAAAAGCAACAGCAGCAGCAATAGCAGCAACAGTAGCAGCATGCTGAGCAGCAGCAGCAATAGCTGCAGCAGCAGAAGCAGTAGCAGCAGAAGCAGCAAAAGCAACAGCGGCAGCAATAGCAGCAGCAGTACCAAGAGCATCAGCAGCAGCAATAGCAGCAGCAGCAACAGCAACCATCAGCAGCAACAGCAGCAGCAGTAATAACAGCAGTAGCAGCAGCTCAATAGCAGCAGCAGCAGCAACAGCAGCGGTAACAGCACCAACATTGGCAGCAGCAACAGCAGCAGCAACAACAGCACCAGCACCAGCAGCAGCAACAGCAGCAACAGCAGCAGCCACACCAATACTAGCAGCAACAGCAACAGCAGCAACACCAGCAACAGCACCAACAGCAGCAGCAATAGCAGCAGCAAGAGCAATAGCAGCAGCAGCAGCAACAACAGCAGCAGCAACAACAGCAGCAGCAGTGAACAGTACTAGTGAGCAGCAGCACCAGCAGCAGAACGAGTAGCAGCAGTAGCAGCAGCAGCAATAGCAGCAGCAGCAACAGCAGCAGCAACTACAGCAACAGCAGCAGAAGCAGCAGGAGCAGGAGCAATAGCAGCAGCAGCAGCAACAACAGCAGCAGCAGTGAACAGTGCTAGTGAGCAGCAGCACCAGCAGCAGAACCGCTAGCAGCAGTAGCAGCAGCAGCAACAGCAGCAGCAGCAGCAGCAGCAGCAGCAGAAGCAATAGCAGCAGCAGCAGCAAAAGCAACAGCAACAGCAGCAGCAGGAGCAATAGCAGCAGCAGCAGCAGCAAAAGCAACAGCAGCAGCAATAGCAGCAACAGTAGCAGCATGCTGAGCAGCAGCAGCAATAGCTGCAGCAGCAGAAGCAGCAGCAGCAGAAGCAGCAAAAGCAACAGCGGCAGCAATAGCAGCAGCAGTACCAAGAGCATC